TTTTTTGATATCTTTCAGACTGAACATTTGACGAGGCATATGAAATTGGGGAGCGTCTGCATGACTGACGTTTTGTGAGATTAATAACGAATTCTAATTGATCTATGAAAGGAAGTTAGAAAAACATCCAAGGAGATCTGTTATGTTTCTCATAAAAACTACTCGTGTTCTCTTTTTCAGATGCCTACGGTAACCGCTATCATCATGTTTTTTCCAAGCAAGGAGGTTGCCGCGAGATACATAGTTCAGTCAGGGAGGCGAGGTGTAATTTTAGAACAAGTTGGTCGTATGGTTTACGACCCGGTCGTCGTGTTCCCTCCGAGACGGGAGTTGAGGATGGATCGTGGCACGACAAGGAGGAACCCGACGCGAACTTTCTTATTTATCACCTCGACTTACCAACAAATTTCCAAACCAAGCTTTGTCAGAACCCAACGGCCAGGCTGGGAAGACCTACGCATAGGATTTGGATACGAGGACGGTGAGTTACGGGCTCATTTTGATCATAAGATAAGATGGATGTATCCGCGACTCATTTTGTACTACAACGGTCGTGTAGGTCCGTTCGATGAAATTGAGTTCATCGAGCGAATTCGAGCCAATCGCTTCGAGATTTCAAGTAGAGAAAGGTTTGATATAGCCACCTATTGGGAACGGTTGGGATATCTTCAACGACTCCTTAGAGCATAAAATAAATCAGTTGTCTAAAAATAATAATAATGATAATAAAAGCAACTCACAGTATTTGGCCGAGTTGCAACCCTTATAACAAAAGTTGTATGAATCTTACAGATGACGTGCGGGTCGGTGATAATAACTTTCTTTCACACACATGAGGAGGCAAGTGAATGGATGACAAGCTCTTAAGACAACGGGATCAACTTAATGCAGACAGGTCGGTTAGTATATGATCCGTCAATCGTGTTTCCCGCAAGGGACAGACCACGATTCTAGCGAGGAAATTTGAGGCGCCCTTCACGAAGTTATCTAATCATCACTGCCTACAGATGGGATATTATCCGATACGGATTCGCCCCTCGACGAGACTTTGAAGGTGCATAGTGCATATTTGATGGTTCGGCACAACGAAGGGTCGGGACGATACGCCGAGAATATTCCATAAATGAATTGATTCTTCTTAGTTATTATGCTGTGATACAATGAGCAACACGGACCATTCGACTATGTTCACCATTATCGTTGGACACCTGACGACAGATTCCGACGTTTTAGACGAGTTGTTTTCTCTGTGGCAGAATTCGAACGCGAGGAGCGCCGACTATTTTTGTTGATCAACTTTTAATGTGGTCCTCTTTGTGAGCAGATGGACGGCGGACGGCGAAATCTTACCAGAGCAGATATCTTCTCGTTCGCGACACGCACGACGGCGGTCTAATCAGAAGAGCAGAACGACTTTTGAGGGTTCGAGATGATACTCCTGCCCCACTGGATCAGCTTCATCAGGATACTCCGAAATGACGAGGGATTTTTCCCTAACACTCGCGCGGATGTCCGGGTCAATATGGCTCGGACTCCTAGGGAGTTTTATCGATATACCTTATACTTTCACCGCGCGAGTAACCTCCAATGTCTCTCTCGAGTCATTGTGAGTGTTAAGATTACCTCGTCCGGTAGACATTTCGGCGTCGTCCGGATCCGGGATACAGAGACCCGACCCTTATTTGGATTGAGTTGGCCTCTTTTGGGTCATAGCGTGGAGACTAGCCCCGCGGATGGCTTCCCTCTATGATACTCAAATTGTTAGAGTTATGCGAGGTGGACGAATGACGACCTTGGTATTCGACGATGGTGAGCTTGCATGTTTGGATTTGTTGGAGACTCAAGCACGCGAAGGACGACAAATTTACCAGGGTTAGGCAGCATTTTCTGAAATCTTACTCGGATTTCAGAAAGACACCTTGCATAAGCTAATCCCGTCGAGGAAGCCATATGACTTATGGCTTCACAAGGTAATTTAAAAAACAAAAACAAAAACACTCTATGTAGATAGGGTCGCCGGATGGATAGTATTCAGATTACCCCGATGATTTCACTATCATGCCTTGGCATTGAGGGGTAAATACATAAGAAAAGAAAAGTAAACAAATGTGTTTCATCGGTCTCAAGTTAAGTCTTCAAACGTCTTTTTTTTTTCTTTTTTTTTTTTTTTTAAACACCCCCTGCCGTGTTAGTGGTACTGGTACGAGCCGATACCACTAGCACCCGGGGAGAGGCTCCATCTATTGGTGGGGAGCATCACCTGTTGGAAAACGGGTCCAGCGTCCCTTTTTAAAAAAAATAAGATGTGTTGAGAGGGAGTGCAGATGCTGGAAACCGGGTCCAGCGTCCCATCATTGTCTTTCCTATCTTCTACAGCTAAGGTCCAAGGCCAGGGCCCAACCAGGGCCCTTGGGGGACATCAGTGGTCCCTGTCTGCTACCCGCCTTCCAAAAAAACGCCAGCTACACTACCTGCACTTAGTTATGTCCCAATTGTTTGTTCTACATATGTTGAGAACCGGGCTCAATGTGCCTCCTGAAACACCTAATTGAAGACTTTTGGAAAAAACATGAGATAAGTTGGGTCCAGCATCCCATCTTTGACTATCCTGCCTGTATAAGAAAAAAAAGGGGGGGGGGCCTACGGCCCGGACCCAGCAGGGCCTCTGGGGGACACCAGAGGACTCTGTCTGTCCCCAGCCTGCCCTCCAACTATCTAAAACCTCTACTGGTTCGCTCCGCCTATGCTGAGAACCGGGCTCAGCGTCCCTTCTAAAAAACCGTGAACATACCTGAAAAGCCCCTACTCCCCTTCCTGTATGATCTCCATTAATGACAACGGGTGGGGGGGGAACGGATCTCCGAACTCCTGCGCCGGTCTGAGGGGAAAGTGGGGGCCAACAGTCGTCCAGTCGTGGAAATGCAGCCTGTAGTCCCGTATCATATCTCTCTAAGCGTCCCCTTCTTCTTCCTCCTTGTGCTTGTCCTCTTACCACTCTACCCATGCTATCCACCCACCTCTCTTCCCTCCAAGCCACTCCTTGCAGAACCGGGAGATAATTCGATCGGCACCTCCCCTGAAATGGACTGTGTCCAGTTTCTCTCTTGCCGCCTGCCAGCGGGTGATGATTTATATCTGCACCAGTTGTTTGAGTTGCTCCGTTACCTCCCCCTCCTCCACTCGTGCTCCTTCCATCTCTAGGACACACCTTTTCCACCAGATAACCCATAGAATGGAGCGTCTGCCCAAGCGAAAGAGATTTTCCTCAAACTCATTTTCTAAGATGTCTGGGCAATGTCCCAGCAGAATTGCCCTCCAATCCCATGGCCATGGCGAGTCTGGGAACATCTGCCGCCAGATCCTATCCCACCACCGCCATAGTAGTACGGCTGAGGGGCACTGCATGAAGATGTGTTCCACTGTCTCGGGTCTTTTGTGTGGAGGAAAGGTGTGTGTGCAACTTTTGCACCATGGGAGTGCGCGCCCCTGCTGTTCTAGCCGGGTGTGGTCGATCAACCACTTATTGGTGGGCAAACAGCGGTGGGCTATTTGCCACTGCAGTGAAGAAATTTTCGCAGGTCGTAGTTTGTTTTCGCAGAACCATTTTATAGGTCTGAGTAGGCCCCTGTCCACGTTCAGGTGTCGATGCCACCTGTCTCCCACCACCTCCCAGAGGCATTTCCTGCTCCTCAGCATCCTGTATGCTGACTTTACCTTCAGATTTGCTAGTTGCACGCCTTTCTGTGGTCTTCTTCTCTGTCCTCCTCTGCTATCCTCGAGCCATCTCCATTCTTCCGGGTCCAGGGACAGGTTTGCAATCGGGGTGTCGGGCCTATATGCCTTCCATTGTGTCCCTCCCTCCAATACTCTGATCCGGTATACGTCACTTCTTTTCCTCCACTGGAAGGGTTGTCTGCTCCCGATCAGCAGGTCCTCACTTCTTAATGCGTAGTACTCCACCAACACGTCTTCCTTTCCCAGTAGGTGGATTCTATCAACCCGGTTCTTTTCGCAGTTTAGGCCCACCCAGTCACCTTTTTCCAGTTGAGGGCCCTTCCTCAGAATGGTGTACCATGCCCGACGTAAGCTTTCTATTAATTCTTCAAGCATTTTTTGTGTGTGGTGGCAGTATCTCAGCCATCCTCTCATTTTGTCCGCGCTCTTCCAATCTTTAGCCTCTTCATCCCATAGGTCCCCTACCCGTAATGCCCCATGCTTCACCCAACCTTTCCACGGGGGGTTCGAGCTGCACCTTACTCGACCCTGGCTGTCAGTGATCCACTTGTTACCGAAGAGGGGCTGCCTGTACACTTCCTCCCACCTATCAGGGGGCGGTTTGGAGGGCAGGGGCAGCCTTCTCCATGCTTTTAAAAGGCGTGGCCAGTGCTCTTCCACCTGTGTCCCATTCCTATGCTTACGCGGAATGTGCCAATATCTGTCCTCTAGCCATATCAGCGGGTCAATTTCCGGGTGGGTCTCAGGGGCGAGGTCTGCAATTTGTACAAGGGCCAGAGGAACCCAGGGGGAAGAGGGGGCAAAGATCAGCCTCTGGATCCATCGCATGCTAAGGGCTTGGAGTTGGGATGCAGGGTCAATTATCCCCAATCCGCCCTTAGTTTTAGGATGAATGACAGAGTCCCATGCCACTCTACTCATTACCCGTGGCAACATGCTGTCTCCTCTCCATAAAAAGGCCGCTAACTGTTTCTTGAGCGTCGTGAGGCCGTGCTTGGTGAGGGGCCACAGCACGGACTTATACCATAAGGAAGCCAACACCACATTATTGATCACCAGGGCCCGTCCAAAGAGCGATGTGTGCTTGTTGTCCCATGCTTGCAGTTTTGTGTGTGCCGGAGGCAGAATCCAGTCGTCGTTCGAGGCCGGTCTTCCTTTGCAGTCAACGAGGCTCCCAGCACCCGCAGTGGTGCCTCCTGGGGTAGCCATGATATGTTCGGTATTTCCGGCGGCCCTCCTCCTTGGTGATGTAGCCACCAGCCTACCGTCTTTTGCCCCCAATTCACCGTCATGTCCGAGAGGCGGCAGAAGCGATCCATTAGAACACGGACCTCCTCCATGTTACTCGCGCATGCTTCCATCAGGACGGTAAGGTCGTCGGCGAACAACGAGCACACCGGGAATGCCTCTTCCGGAATCCTTGTCAGTTGAATGCGTTTGATGGCTTTATTGTGTCTCAGGTTCGCTAACAAGGCTTCCATTATAACCAGGAAGAGGAAGGGGGCTATCGGGTCCCCTTGTCTAACTGATCTCTGGAGGGGGAATTGCGGTGCCACTGAGCCGTTCACCTGGACGCATGTGGTGGCATTCTTGTGCAAGATCTTGATCCAGCGCCGGAAGGATGGTCCAAAATTCATCCTGTCCAGGCATTGGTCGAGGAAAAACCAATCAACGTGATCGTATGCTTTTTCAAAATCTATAAAGATGATGGCTGCATTGGCTTTTCCGCGCTGTGAGAGACTAAGGACCTCATTGACCAAGAGAATGTTCTCTTGGATGTTCCTGTTGGAGATGAAACCAGTCTGAGCCGGATGGAGGATGTCTTCCAGGACCGTCGCCATCCGGTTTGCCAAGGCCTTCGCCAGCATTTTATATACTACTGTAAGCACTGTGATAGGTCTATAGTTCCTGAGGTTCATTTTGTCCCCCTTTTTATGCAGCAGAGACAGCACCCCCTTTCCCACCACGTCTCCCATCTCCTTCTCTTCCCAGACTCCCTGATAATATTCCCATAAATCAGCGCTCAGATCTGCCCACATGCATTCCCAGAATTCCTTGGGGAGACCATCAATTTCGGGTGTCTTCCCCTCATCCATTTGGAGGAGCGCTGTCCAGATTTCTTCCTTGGCTGGCGGTCTTTCCATCTCTTCTCTTTGCTGCGGAGAGAGGCGTTTGTTCATGGGGCGCAAAAAGTCCTTCAGGTCCTGTCGTCTTTCCGCCTCGTCCGGATCTCGAACTTGTGAGGTGTATAGGTTCTTGAAAAAGGTTCTGGTGATCAATGTGCAATGAGGTGTGTCTGTGGCGATGACTTCCTCCTCTTTCTCAGGGTCGAAAAGGGCGTCGATGACTGACCGGCGAGCGAGTGCGGTCGCCATACTGAAAAAATGGGTGTCCATAGTTGCTTCTCTAGTAAGCTTGGTTAGCTTCCCTCGGACTCTAACCCCTTGCCATCTATACTGTGCAAATTGTAACAGTTGGTTCTTTATTCGCTGGATGGATTCTATTTGATCTTGTGATGCTGCCTCGGATTCCGGGCTAAGGAGTTCCTTTTGTAGATCCATTTCCTGTCAGTAACGCTGCGCTGCTCTGTCTTTGGAGAAGTCTTTACAATTTTTGGCAAGAAAAAGAAGACCACTGTTGAACCAATCCTGATGCAGATCAAAGTGGTTGTTCTGCTGACGCCAAAACTGCCATGTGTCCCGTATGAACTGTATGAATCGCTAATCTTTTAGAAGCGAGGTGTTTAGTTTATAGAAACTGGGGCCTTGGTCAGACCTCTTGCGCATTGTAAGAATGATTCCACATGTTTTATGGTCCAGTCCTGGGTACGGACGACGGGGGAGGATTGCCCCCCACCGCATAGCGCCTTCCAGGTCCTTGGATAGTAGAATCAGATCAATGCGGGATTTGGAAAGTCTTCCTGGGTTGCTATCCCTTATGCATGAGAAAGTGTGATCGGTAGGGTGAAGTCGGCGGAAGGTGTCGAAAATAGAAAGGGATTCACACAAGTCTGCTATCATCTGCTCATCCGCCTCTGCGGCAAAGGCCGGTGATGTGTGAGGGCCCCACCTGTCTAACCAACGATCCGGAGCTGCGTTGAAGTCACCGACCACCACAACGGGGATCCCTTCTGGTATCTGTGGTCCCAGTCCCTCCAGAAAGGTTCTCCTTTCTCCCATTGTATTGGGGGAGTATATGCACAAGATGCAGAGCAATTCTAGTTCAAGCATCCCAAGGACTGATGCCCATCGCCCTTCTGTTTCATCTACAAACCAATGTACCATTTGGAATCTAGATTCAGGGGGTATCCAAATCACCATTGCTGACCCGGGTCTCGGGGCGTGGGCCCACACGGCCTGGTGTGGCCAGGTCATCTTTCCGGCCCTGATATGTTCGGGCTTGTTCTGTAGGTGGGTTTCCTGTATGCAGATTACATCTGGCCATCGTCGTCCCCCTACTCCCCTGAGTTGGTCCCAGATGGCCTGCCGCTTTTCTGGGTTGATGGCCTGCTGCTTTTCTGGGTTGTAGGTGGCTAGGTCATTCACGTTGAGTGAACGCATGTCTAGATCCGCTGATTTAACACATTTTTGTCAGGCCGGGTTTGTACAATATAAGGTTTGTATGTCATCCATACAGTTCGTGTGAGTGGGGGGTATCTAGTGCGAGTGGGAAGGGGCTACAGTGGCTGCCATTTTTTTGTATCCCATCTGTCCAGGGAGAGGGTCTTTTTCCGAAGAATAGTACGCAGACACTTGCACACATCTTCGGCAGACCAAAAACTGTTGGGTTTAACCTTGTGCTCTTGCAATTCAAGGAGGGCCTTGTGGCAGAACCAACACAGGTTCGCAGTTTTCTTGGATTCGAATAGAAGGAATAAATCATTCCGTACCTTTTATTGTTTGCACCCTTCCATTCTCATGGCCCCTCTTGCCCCTGGCGAGAAAAATTGAGGGATGTGCTCGTTAACCTGTCTAGTGATAGGAGCTAGCCCAGTAGGTACCGGTACTTGATTGTCACCCCACTGATATGGGGATGGAACCTGATCAGCTGCGCTAAAAAAAAAAAAAAAAAAACCTGTTTAGTGAATGTGGCATCTCTCTCCCTCTCTTCCACCACGTGTGTTGGATATTCCCATCCCTGCAGTGTGACTTCCCCTTTGTCTCCCGCCGGGGATAGCCCCACCTTCCATATCCAATCTTCTTTCTTCAATGGGATTACCAAAACCCCTTCCTTTTTGGAGAGGGGGGGCTCGCACAGACCTTGCTCAACGAGTTGTCGCAGTTTCAGCCTTCGTGGTGCTGCCCCTTCAAGGGCTGGCCCTTGGTGCTCCTGGTTGCTCGGTGGGGGGGAGGCGCGGAAGCGGTCACTAGCTATGCACAGGATTCGTCTGAAGATCTCTGCCCATGTCAAATGGGGTGGAAGGCCCATCGACAGCGCAGTTCTTACTGCTGAGCTGCTATTCAGCAGAGTGACGAGTTCTACATAAGCCGTGTCCCAGTATTCTTCTCCCCCCTGAGGATGCTAGGACTTCAGGTGTTGGAGTACCCACTCTGTAGTTACTTGAATTTTCTGTTCCATCCCCATTTCAGAGGGTGGGGCGTCCGGATCTTGATTGGCGTCCGCCATGAATTCCTCGGGGGGCGGGAGGGATTGAGGGTCTACTTCCATTGGCTGTGCCCCAAAAGCTTCTGAGAAGCAGTCTTGCCCCTTTGACTTTTTGTTTTGCTGGGGGTCTGAGCCCCAATCCTGCCCTGTTGCTTTCTGGGCCTGCTCGGCCTCTTGCCCCTCCCCCTTTGGTTCTTGTGTTTTCCCCTTCCCCATATCTGCTATATTCGCCCCTTGTACCTCTTGCTTGTTTGGGTTCCCTTCCTCAGTTGCAGGCTGGGGGTGCTTCCTTCTCCTGCCGCCTTCCTCCGCTATCTGCCTCCCGTTTCTTGGACTCTTTGGGCCCAGCAAGGAAGAGGGTGGTGGGTGTGCATTTGGTCAACGATGTTTCCTTGTTTGTGGCATATAAGAAGGGTGATGAGCATTCCAAGGAGGAGGCTGTCAAGGTGAGAAAGTGCTTCGAAGGGTGTTACCCGAAGAGGCTGACCCTGAAACGCACTGACGAAGGACTGGGTACGTGGAAGTTCCTAGGATGCAGACTGGAGGTCCAACAGGCCCTGCCTTACCTAGGCAGCGTACAGGCCATCAAAAATGAGGACACCATCTGGACCAGCCGGCCTTTGGTTTTTCGAACCAGCCAAGATTTCAGATCCTGGACCAGTCGGCGTCAGAAAGTCGCGGCGGTCACAGGATCACTGCATCGCTTGGACAGAAATTCGACGGATAAGACTGCGATTCCGGTCCAGGTACTGTCAATGAGAAGGGAGTATCGGGCGAAAGGGTTCCCCGATAGCTTTTTCGAGAAGATTGTGGATGATTTTGCTACAATTAGGGGTGGCATCTGGGGACTGGCAGCAGCGCTGCTGCACCTGCCGTAGGCGCTCGTAGTTCCCAAGAGTGTTTTTTGGCTTTTTTGGCTTTTTGTTTGCTTGTTGGTTTTGATTTGGCGCTTCTTTTGGGGCGTGGTCCTTGGCAATTGTCGGATGTACGGGGGGTTACTCGTATTTTCCGAGAGAGTTTTTGGTTTTTGGCAATCCTTTCGGCGGGTTGTTTGTGTTTTAGCCCAAGTAAGGAAGGGCCTATCGTGTGTTTGCGAGAATATAGGAAGTAACGTTGTAGTGCTTTACCTCTTCGACACCAAGTTCTAGGCAGGGCACCGGGTAGACCGATGCACCTGTCACTGTTTTTGGGGGAAAGGGGGAACGATGGTGTAGTCTCGGGAGGAAGAAGGGTTGACAAAGCCGAAGGTCGATAACGGTGCAATTCGCGACCACTGCGAACTGAAGATTACGAGCTCGAACAATTTGCAATTTGCTGTTCTTTGTTGAAGAAGCCATCTGGCTATTTTGACTACGATATGCTTGTGCAATCGTGAATGAAGTTTTGTCAGAATTTTGCATACTGGCTACGCCCTCGTTAACCTGTGGGGAAGACCACCCCGATTCGGTGTTCGAGACTATTGCGGGTGAGAAGAAGTAAGAAGAAGTATCAAGTGCAGCGACGATTCAGGATCTCAGGTGACGCGAGGATGGCGACCGGCGGCAATGGCGGTGGAGCAGGCGGCGGTACGGGGGAACAACCACCGAAAAGAGGCCCACCGATCTGCTATTCGTGTGGAAAACCTGGGCATTTCAAGTTCAAATTTTGGAAATACAAAGAGGTGGGTCCCCGAACCGACGCTGGGAGAAGGGCTCAACGTCATCAGCAAGTAGCGGGAAGAGCGGAGACTCGGAGGCCGTGAAAGAACTAGTAACGCTACTGCTGGCGAAGGAGCAAGCGAAAGAGATGAAGCACCTCGAGAAGGAGGAAAGGAAGAAGGCTGAACGAGAGGAGAAGTTACGAAAGCAGCAGAAGATCGAAGAAGAGGAAAGAAAGAAGCAAGAGCAGTTGGAGAATGAGCAACGTTTGTCACGAATTGTGAAGCAACAACTGGCACAGTGGGGACCACCACCGAGCGCCACGCACCGAGATGCCGCGAAAGGTCACAGACGGGAGAGAAGGTGGCGTCCAAGAAGAATCCCGTACCATCCTGATGGTTGGGGTTATTCGGACGACGAAGTACAAGAGATCAGCCAAAAAACGGCGGCGCTCGATCTCAGCACAGAGAAGCGAAAGAGGGAAACCACGGACGAAGAATCGTTTTCGACACCACCTTCGCTGGTTTAACACCGGGCACGAGGACGAGGGAGGCCTAAAGGGTCTTGTAAGAAGATGAAGACTAGTCTGAAACCGTTCAATTTGAAAAGCTGACGCAAGAGCTCTGACCCTATGAAGAAAGGAGCAGCCTCAAGAACGGGAAGAGGGTCGGGAGCCAAGTTTGTGGAAGACACCCGACTGTACTTAGACAGGATGGACTACAAAGTGATCCAGAAGATGTGCAAGTCGGAGAATATTCCGTATGTACGGAAGTCGCAAGTTGTGGCAGCTTTGGCCGAGAAGAGGGCTATGCTAGCCTACGACAATACTGAGGACGTGGGTTCAGCCGAAGGGAAGACGAAGGAAACCAACGACGCATCGGGCGGAAGCGATTCAGAAGATTCAGAGGAATCCGAAGAATCGGATTCCCAATGAAGATTAACGAACCAGAGCCAACTTTGGCGAAAGTATGGGGAATTGTTGGAAGCAAGGAAGGAGAGGGAAGGTATTTGTCCAAAAATTGAATCTGCACGTTGGGCAGTTGTTGGTTTGGCTCTCAGTGGGGCTGTGCCTTGGGCACTGAAGTTTGTTAATGATTGAGTAAAGAGGAGCGAGGAGAACGAGGATTTCCTGGAGAATCCGAAGTCGTGTGTTTATGTAAGAATCTCACCTACATGTAAGGCTATCTACATTGGCCGTACGGGAAGATTGCTTAACGTGCGATGGGCCGAGCATGTGCATCGTAGTGAACCAGGAAGCGATGGGTCAGCGCATTTTCATCGATGGTTACGAAAGTTTGGGACCAATGAGTATGTTCTCATCCCCATCCATTTCGCTACGATCGAAGAATTGCTGCTGATCGAAGAATTCTACATCCACAAATGGTCACCGGCGTTGAACGTCTTCGGAGCTAAGTCTACAAATTCAGGATGCAGGAAGAAGAGAAAGGGCAAGAGGGAGCGGAATAGAGGGACAAAAGGTAGTGCCACGGTCACAACGAACCGTTCGTATCACGAGCTACTGCGTTTTCGAGTAGGGTGCCAGGAGAAAGAAAGAACGAGTATAGTATCATTGTTTGACGAACAGTTGGGATCGGGGAACGTCTGTTTCACACTGGTAAGTACGGGAGGAAATGCGTGGTGCGATACGTGGAAGAAAGTGCGACGGCTGTTTGGGGAATCTGAAGTGTTGATGAACGGGGTTACCTGTAAGTTGCGTAGTTGTAAGAAGAAGGTAGAGGAAGGAGGGGAACTGAGCATTTGGCGTTTGAAGAAATGGGAGAAGGGTTGTCGTGGACAGAAAGGAGCTTTACTGACACTGCTGAAATGGCCTGCACGAAGGAACGAGTTGACGAATTTTCCGTTGAGATTGTTAACAAATTTGATCGGCGCCGCGAAGTAATTCTGGAAGAAGTCGACTCGCAGCATGTTGAGAAGGATCTTGTTCGGAGCGATCAAACAGAAGTCAGGGGTTAAACTGTACAGCAAGCTGGTAGTGAGAACCAAGTACGACGACCGAGTGGACTTGGTAAGACTGAGAAAGTTGTGTGACGAGAAGATCGACAAGCTGGGCTTTCCGTCGTGCACCAATGACTTCTTGAAGCGAAAATCACGTGTGGTCTGGACTAAGAATCCGACCGTAGGTGAGCTTTTGCACAACCACCGAGAGTTCGCCTCTCGAGAGGTTGTTGCCTGTGCATGCACAGGATTTGACCTGCCCCAGAGTGGAGGGCACGTTAGATGTCGTTTGAGTGAACTGGCCGACATTGACCCAATGCTGATGAACGCTAAAAATGTTCCGAGGTGTGTGAAGGAAAGAAGGGAAAGGAATTTGAAGAAGGAAATCGAAGATGGGTTTACTATGTGGAAACAAGGGAGGGACACGTCTGTCGAGGTGGAGTTGAAGGAGGTTAAGTTGTGCATGAATGGGAGAGGACAGGTGGGTGGTGAACTCGAACTTGAAAGCGTGCTGAAGCTGAAGAGGAGGTTTGAAGGATTGGTCTTCACTTCTGTTGACCGTAACCCCGGAGAGACATGCATCATGTGCCCGCTGCTGTACTACGAAGGGATGCAGACCATGTTTTTGAAGAACGAAGGCTATGTGTTTGACGAGAGGAGTGAGGATCGTTTCTGGGATGAGAGTTACGACGAATATGTGGAGGCGGGGTTGGGACAGTTAGGTAAGTGGAAAATGACGGGAGGAACTGGGAAGAGCTATGTGATTCCCAAGCACAAGGACCTTGGGTCCTTTCAGCCAATCTACCCGACCTTTCGAGAGCCAATGAACGTAACCAGCAAACGGATGGCACGGGCACTGAATCTGTTATTGAATACCTTACCGGATAAGGAGCATTTTAACCTGCAGGCTGTCTCGGGACTTGCTGAAAGGCTGACAAAAGCAAATAAAAGCTTCGGCCAGATGGGAACCGACACACGCATCCTTGCAGCATCATACGATGTCAAGGACATGTTCAGTCGGTTACCCCATAGGGAGATCATAACAGCAGTGGATTGGTTGGTAAACTGGCACCGCGAGAGGGGAAGAAAGGTGGTGAGAGTTAACCCGAGAGGAAAGGGTGCAGTGTTCGACTGTAAGACGAAAGATAGCTGGTGGGCTGTGAGTTTGCAAGAGATTCGTGGCTTTGTAGCTTTCGACTTAGAACACACTGTGACAGTTGCCTCTGGTCTCATGCTGAGGCAAACGATCGGAGTCCCGATGGGCAAGAGTACCAGTCCACCACTCGCGTGCATCATGTGTGCCTACGCGGAGTGGCGTTTCTTGGACTTTGGGCCCAGCAAGGAAGAGGGTGGTGGCTGTACGTTTGGTCGACGATGTTTCCTTGTTTGTGGCATATAAGAAGGGTGATGAGCATTCCAAGGAGGAGGCTGTCAAGGTGAGAAAGTGCTTCGAAGGGTGTTACCCGAAGAGGCTGACCCTGAAACGCACTGACGAAGGACTGGGTACGTGGAAGTTCCTAGGATGCAGACTGGAGGTCCRACAGGCCCTGCCTTACCTWGGCAGCGTACAKGCCATCAAAAATGAGGACACCATCTGGACCAGCCGGCCTTTGGTTTTTCGAACCGGCCAAGATTTCAGATCCTGGACCAGTCGGCGTCAGAAAGTCGCGGCGGTCACAGGATCACTTCATCGCTTGGACAGAAATTCGACGGATAAGACTGCGATTCCGGTCCAGGTACTGTAAATGAGAAGGGAGTATCGGGCGAAAGGGTTCCCCGATAGCTTTTTCGAGAAGATTGTGGATGATTTTGCTACAATTAGGGGCGGCATCTGGGGACTGGCAGCAGCACTGCTGCACCTGCCGTAGGCGCTCGTAGTTCCCGAGAGTGTTTTTTGGCTTTTTGGCTTTTGTTTGCTTGTTGGTTTTGATTTGGCGCTTCTTTTGGGGCACGGTTCTTGGCGATTGTCGGATGTACGGGGGGTTACTCGTAGTTTTCGAGAGAGTTTTTGGTTTTTGGCAATCCTTTCGGCGGGTTGTCTGTGTTTTAGCCCAAGTAAGGAAGGGCCTATCGTGTGTTTGCGAGTATATAGGAAGTAACGTTGTAGTGCTTTACGTCTTCGACAGCAAGTTCTAGGCAGGGCACCGGGTAGACCAATGCACCTGTCACTGTTTTTGGGGGAAAGGGGGAACTGCGGTGTAGTCTCGGGAGGAAGAAGGGTTGACAAAGCCGAAGGTCGATAACGGTGCAATTCGCGACCACTGCGAACTGAAGATTACGAGCTTGAACAATTTGCAATTTGCTGTTCTTTGGCTATTTTGACTACGATATGTTTGTGCAATCGTGAATGAAGTTTTGTCAGAATTTTGCATACTTTGCATACTCCCGTTGACATCGCTCCTGAGTTCGCTCTGCCTTATCTGTTGAGTCTGTTCAGTCCAGGATGCCTGCATCAGATGTCCTTCCGAAGTCCCTTCCAGACTCCCCCCCCCTCCTTGCTTCTCTTGTCCTCGGGGTGGTTTTACCCCTACCTCCTTCCCTTGTCCCATTTGTCCCCCATGCCCCACTTGTCTTTCCATCACCTCTGCGCCCCCTTCCGCCTGTGCCTTCCCCCCTCCTCGAGTCTGTCTCTCCTCCCCCTGGTGTACCTCTCCTGGGTTCCTCTCGTCCCTGAGGGCTCTCCCCTGATCCTGGCACAGCAGTCCACTTTTATCTCTCCCTTTTTGTGTTTTGTTTGCCTCTTTCCTGTGGACCACTGTCCAATGGTCTGTTGTGGGGGTTTTCTTTTTCCTTTCCTGTTCCCCTGGAGATGGGAGTCCCTTGGATTGTGCCAGATGGGCCTCCAGTGATCTGGGGGTGCCCACAAAGCCGGGGGTTCGGTGGTTAACACCGGGCCCCCTTCCCCTTCCCACGACCATCCCACTATGACACCGCTGTCTTTTTCTGGTTCGTCTATGAATACCCATCCTTCATGCCCGTGATCCACAGTGCGCCATCGTGATTTGTTGTAGGACGTCATCAATCGCAAATATCTGGTTGTCGGGTAGGTTAACGGCCAGCATGAGATAATCATTTCTCTTCGCTACGTGCGGCGGCAAGGGGTCTATGAAGCCTACCACGTCATATTTCTCCGCGAAGTCTTGCACTAGTGCAGCCTGGACTTCGATTGGGACATGCCGGAACTCCACCCAGAAAAATTCTCTCATCATTTGTTCTCTCCGTTCTTCCGGTTTTTGCTGACGTGGGGGGGACCATGGATATATTCTTACCTCTGCTCCCTCACATCGGAGTGATTTCCAGTTGTCCATCATCCTTTTGTCTGAGTCAAGCATGCAAATAACACTTATGACAGTCGGTGATGCTGGTTGGATTAAAAAGAACTCATTCGCGGTTTCCGGAGACCCTTTGAAGGCTGCTAGCCGACCCCTGACCCAGTTGATTTTGTCATTCATTGACTTGAATGCTGCGTCGTCGTGGAACGCCCAATTGCTTGCATAACGCGTGAATAACTCGTCTCTTAGTTTGACTTTGTCGCTTGGGAGGGCTTTTACTATGGTTGATTTACCCCCCTGGTGCAATATCCTGCTTTCTGAAGGTGACAGGAGACGTGTCAGGAAGAAAGCCCCTACTGTCGACACGTTTGATAGCGGTATTTTCCATTCTTCGCTCGCATCCTTCCCCTCTCCCTTCCCTTCGTCCCCCCTGCGTTGTACAGAAATGAAATCTCCAGCAAACGGTCTTCCCACCTTTTCAGCCCATGTTTGGGGCCTAGACGTTTCTCTCGAGGGGTCTGCTGTCACCGCCGGTCGTGAAGGACCTGCTGTCTCCTTCTGTCGCGAGGGGCCTGTTGTTCCCCCCTGACCTTTTGCCCTTTCTTCTCCTCCGTTACCCCCTTGCCCTGCCTTTCCGTTTTCAACTTCCTTCGTTCTACGGTCCCCCACGATGTTCGCAAGCCGGGTTCGGGCATGCTGCCTCACCGCTCCCTTATACATCAGCATACTGTCCATCTTTCTGCGGACGCTTTGATATTTTGGATTCCCCTTGAGGAACGCCATCTTCCCCTCTCCTCTTTACCTCCCCTGATTGTGTATTCCTGTGCTCTATTCTTCTCCCTTCCTGTTCCTGCTGTGAATTTTCCTTCACCCTTGATCCCCTGCTTCGTCCTGGTCAAACCCGGGTCTGCCTGCCCTTCACTTGAGACTTTTTGTAGAATCTTCCTCCGCCAGTTGAGGCGGCCGGTTGTCAGGAAAAGAGAGGGGGAGGATGGGAGGAGGTGGACGATTAGGTCGGGGTGCAGGGTGACAAGAAGATGGAGAGAGTCACATGGCAGGGGGCCGACGATGGAGGGAGCGAAGGGAACTTCGGGTGAAGCCCCCGAGTAAAAGGGAGGGGAAAGGGGGCAAGGAAAGACGATCAGGGAGGGAAATCCGGATGACAAAGGGTCAGGGAGGAGGCGAGGGGAAAGGGTTTACAAGGCCAGAAAACCCCGGGGTAGAAAGAACGTCTGCAGGAGGGAGAGAAGAGGTGGAAGGGGCGACCAGAAACTCATATACCTCAACCCGTGTGAACCTCGGGCGGAAGGGGAGAAGAGAGGGATTCACGAAGGTGAGATAAAAAGTCCCGTGTGAGCCCCCGAGCAACCGGGGTAACCAAATGGGGGAGGGCAGGGCCGAGCAGAGGGAGTGGGAGGATGACGAAAGGAAGGGGAGGGGATTCGGGAGAGATGGGAGGCACCGAGGCCGACCCCTCTGTTCGTCGAGAAGAGTGAACTGAACTCACCTGCTTTTGGTTTTGTAGACCACCTTGGACGCTTGATAGTGTCGGTCTTCTTGCCTACCTGGCCGCTTGGGGACGCCCTTCTCAAGCCCGCGTCCCCCACCGCTCTGGTTTCCCCGAGCGGGGTCCCATGGGGATCGGGTCGTTCAAGGCGTCGTTGTAGCGCTCGCTTCTGGATGTAAAGAGAATAGATTCCCGTTGTCTCGGCTGCAAGCCACCTGCGAGATCTCGGTTAGTTCCAGAACTCCATTCCATGTAAAGCTGTATCCATCGCGCCTTACATGCGTCGTCGTATTTCGCTGCTCCCGTTCTATGCACAACGACGCTCCGATCTTGTCGTGTACGTGGTTTCTCTCTGGCGGACGCTTCGCGCTGCTTCCCACACAGACCCGCTGCGTCGATGCGCTAAGCGAGCGCTAATTTTCCCGTCCATGTGTCGTATTGGTCTCTGTCCTACCTTCGCAAGAACCAAGTAGGAAAAAAATCTACGTTGCGTTTTATAGGGCAACCTGAAAACACGACCCTGAAATCATACATAAAAAGGTCTGACTATAGACTTCAGTTTAGAGGATTGAAAGAGTTCTCTCTATAAAACTCTATGTATTTTAAGACCACATCAACGACGAGGAGGGAATACATTGGCATGATCTTTTCATCAGACCAAATCAATCATATGAAACGTTGTGTTGTGATTTCACAGTAATGCTTGCTGAGATGATTGACTGAAAGGATAACTTTTATATATTGCTTTATTAAAGGTATGTATGACTTCGCCTTGATAAGTTATATATATGTGTATGTGTATGTGAGTAATGTATGTAAGGGACTAGGGATGAGTTGGGGGGTTCACGCTTGGTTGAAGCCACCCTAGTCGACCGGCGTACGCTTCATCCTTAGGAGATCAGCGCCCTAAGAGACGAGCAGCGTTTGGGTTCAATAGGCGTTTTAATCGCATGTACCTATACTACAGCGAGCGAGCAAACGCCCTCGGCTGACTCACCTCGGCGATTGCATATAAAAGTTTTAGCACATGGGTTAGTAGCTCGGTGGGGATACGCCCCTAAGGGTGGTGACAACCCCTTAGGGAAGAAAGTTGTGCTCCGCGGGAACCTATCCTGTCGTAGGGGATCACGGGAAGTACAATTGGCGCACCCGGCTAGAGCGGCGAAGGGACAACCCGACCGCGGCTGTCTTGGCGGTACGCGGGATTACTTCGCATCGTCCCCAAGTTGTCTCTGTATTTTGCTTTTGTTTAACTCCTGCGTGACATGGCAGGGACGGCTCCCACCTCTTTGCGAGAAAAGGTAGGGGTCGATGCGCTCGACACCGAAACCCCCGACTGATGGGTCCTCACCTGTGCCACCGCCAGATGCGATACTGACTGATCCTTCTTTTTTTAAAGGGGGGGGGGGGACATGCTCCAATCTATTCGTAGGGAGCAGCACGTGCTGGGAACCGGGCCCAGCATCCCATTCAAGATCATATTGAGAAATTGAGAAATTTATGGAGAAATCCTTGAGATACCGGGGCCATTACCCGACTTCGGCTAAGAAAGACAACTGTGTAATCTACACAAGAACACTAAAATTCTCTATCCCCCAAAGCTCGAATCAAAGGAGCATTCACAATGAAAAAAACATCTGCCTTAGGGCCTTTCAGCAGCCCAACCCTACTTGCCTCACCCCTATATCCCGATGCCCAATCTCTACCAGGCCTCATGCCCCCAACTGCTAGGTTACAGAGTGGCACGACCCACCCCAGAAAACCCCCACCTGCTAGGCCACAGGGCAAAGCGACCCGCCCCGGCTCTGGCCAAAATCGACTAGGCACCAACTCACCAAAAGACACTAGAGTGCCTTCCACCCTCGACAACTCCCCATATCTCTCTACCAGGTGTCATGCCCTTGTACAGCTTGAGTTACAGGGCAGCGCAACCAAGCCCCAGCACCGACCAGCGTCATTCAGGCCTCGTCTATTCGCAAACCACTGGGACTCAGGACTAAGGCAAATACCAGTCAAGCCACCAATCAGCACCATAGTTGTAGATCCCATCATTCATCTCCTCCTCTTTTTTTTTTAACTATTAACGGAGTTTGGGAAAATTTAGGAAAAACATGGATGACTGTTGACCAATTGCTAGGCTACTCCCTGTTGAGCTCTCCAAGGCCTCATGCCCCCGCCCTGCTAGGTTACAGTGCAACACGACAGGGCTGAGGCAAAGCAGCGAGGCCGGGGAAGAGAGAGAGGGAGAGCACACACACACTCACTCAACTCGACACGGACTCGACACGACTCGACGGACGCAGACACAAAGTGGCAAAGTCACAAAGTCGCAGTCTTGGATTCCGAACACAATGTCGCAGCAAGTCACACTGAAGCACAAGCACTGAAGCCGAAAACTGAGTGCCCGAACTCAGCTTGAGTCCGGTCTTAAGTACCGAACTCAAGTTGAGTCCGAGGGCAGAAGTGCAATTTGCCTTGGGGCTGAACTAAAAATCGAAGGTCTGAGACTGGGCGCCAGAATGCCGGATGGCGCCAAGTATCGAAAGTTGAAATGCTAGAGGCGGGATTTGAGAACGGGCGCCAACTGCAGAGGGCGCCAACAGTCTGGAACCGGAGATCAGAGACTCAAAAAAAATAGAACAGCAGCCTGGCGGGTGGTAACCTGCGGACTAGGGATTGAGCCGTGGCTGAGTCCATAACAACTCACCCCGGCTCCGGCCAGCGTCGTCCCGACAGCAACCCTTGGTTTTCGCTTGGAATGCCCGCCCCAAGGCATCCCCAGATCTCTCTACCAGGCCTCATGCTCCTGCTATCAACAGGTTACAGGGCAACTTCCCAACACCGGCCAGCGCCGTTCAGGCATCGAAAAAACCCAAATCCATAAATATAAGAGCATCAAAGAAGCCTAAAGTGAATTGCAAGAAGTACACAGATCTTGTGATAATGACTGGTCCTACCCTTGAAGCGCACGGGGATGCAAGAGAGGATAAAGGTCCTCACTGAATCGCTCTTTGAATGGCTTAAAGCACTGTACACGAGCATGCCAGAGGAGTTTTGGGACCAGACGTATATCAACCTCTTTGACATGTTGAACGGTAGTCCGAGCCTCAGGCAGGTCTTAGAGCACGGATTACCCGAGGAGGTCAACATGGAAGAAGTCCGACATCGAGTTTGGTGCATTTTATACAACCAGTTTCAATATCCCTCCTCTCCTTCTCCAGACGTCGGGGTCTCCCCTCCAATGGATCAGGTCCCTTTGCTAGCAGGGGGGGTTCCGAACTCACCTCCCCCCCCTCCCCCTCCCCCTCCCTCCTCCCTTGCCGCCCTCGCCAAACTCCCTGCCGACGACACCGTCCGCCACTGCTTCAGACCCACTGGGCCAAAACGGCCCTTGCCGCGACTAGGTGGTGCCATGCCGCACTTCAAGCACTAGTGATTGTCCATTCTCCTGCCATGTGGCCTGGGAAATGCCCATCTTCTCCCAGGGCTTCCCAACACCTATGCCAGGATGAGCTGGAAAGGAACGCGGTCTCCTATATCCATTTCCATTCCTATTGTTGTCACCCTTGTTGACAACTGCGGGGTGACATCACCCTTTCCCGATTCGCCGCCCACACCTACTTGTCCCTCGCTTCCTTCATGGGGCCACTTTTCCATTATGTCGTCGCCGAACACAACGAGAGTTTGGTCTTGGTTTTTCAATCTCCACAAGACTCTTTTCCCTTGTCCACCCCCCTGTCCCATCTTTGTAACCCCAGTGTAAGTACCCTTAACCTGGGAAATCATCTGCTCTCTCTGCAGAGCGAGATCCTGAAACTGACGGTAGTATACTTACCCGATTTAGCTTCCACTACGAGCTGACCACGGATTGGTTCTGGCAATGCACATGAGTAACGTACAGGACCTGGTCGCCGTGTATGTTCAGGTCGGGTAAACGATCTACCTCACAAGAAAACGTGTCAACAGACGTCTAGTGGCGCTAAGACAACGAAGTCGGTTGGTCGAGTGCTTCATCTGCGGTGGTCTTATCCAGAAATCTTTCTTTAATCTTCTTCAAAAAGTCTCTCAAGGTCAAGGTCTTTGCCCAATCCCCGATAAACTCAAATTCGGCGGCGTTTGCTTCTGACAGTATCCATCTTCACCAAGGCACGAGGTGGTAAATGCCAGCTGGCTATCTTCGTCCACCGGGGTTGGGGAACGGTAGGTCTGGTTTCAGCGATCCACAGCAGCACATCTTCCCCTTTCTTACCGTTGTATGTGAAGGGAAGCTTCATTTTCATTTTCTCCCGTCTTGTTTCTTTCTTTGGGTTTTCATTATTAGGGGTGAATTTCATTGCATCTCCCATAAGTTTCTTCCCTGGTTCAAGTTTCGGTTCTTCCCGGGTCTGCTCCTGTTCTTCTTTGGTCATCGGCTGCTTTTGCTTGACCGCATTGGTCAACATCACCAACTGGGCAGAAAGCAAATTCTTATTGGCGATGACCTGATCTAGCTTTGTCTCCAAGTGAACGAAGTAGGACATCGTATTCTGCATGAGAGTTGCAATGTCACTTCCTTCTTCTACTTGTACTTTGCTTCGGATTTCATTCATTTTCCTTTCTTCTTCGTCTTTCTCTTTTCTTTGTTGTTTTATGGCTTCCTTATTCTTCTTTTCTGCTTGCAATGCTTCTTTCAGCTGCCTAATGTTCTGGTCAACGACATCTTCATTTAGTTCCTGTTTGTTTTCTCCGCTTGTTTCCCCTTCTTTCTTTTTTTCCTCTTCTTCAATGTGCTGAACATTTCTGGCCAGCATTTCAGCAACGAATTGGTCCAGATTGTGATCGGCCTTGGCTAAAACCAGGTTCATTTCTCCTACCACACAGAGGAGATCAACTCCCGTTGCAGCCTGGTTCAACTGTTCCTCGAGACTGCGCGGATCAAACTGGCTCCGGACATGGGCTTCTGCTTCTGGGCCAGCCTCGTGGATTTCAGTTAGGGCCTGCTGCGATTTCAGCTTTTCTTGGTCCCTGCGGGCATTCACTTTCCCGCGTGTAGGCAGTTCTCTGCATACAGCATCAGTGAGACCGGATTGAAAAACAAGGGAATGAACTTTGTCAAACCAGACAGCCGCACACAATGACTGGGGCTCTGAGCACTGCCACATTCCCATAGAATAGGAGACAGGTTGGAGGAGATCCTCTTCCCCCTCCCCCTAGAATGGCTGCGGATACTTCAATGGGGGCCAACCCTTGAAGAGGGTCGACGGGGTGGCCGTGAAAAGGGAGGAGGTTCACGTGGGCAATAAGGTGGTGGTCAGATCGACAGAGGTTCTGGTAAACCTGTTCCAACGGGATCAACAGAATCAACTATCTAGGGGCATGTCGTATGAAGTAGCCTGGATGGACAAGATGCTGACCTACCGGGTTAGAGTGCTTGGGGAAAATGATTTTGGGGTGGCCTTCAGGCCGGAACTCCATATTCAGGACCTCCTCATAGATGTGGAGTGGAGATTGCGAATCCCTTTAAGAAACACCCAACCCGAATTCTGCTACCGCCACACACTGGGAGTCAAGGCGACCTACCGGCTGCTGATGATCAGGCTGAACTTACACAACAGGATAAGGGGCCGGTGGGCAAGACACTTAAACGTGTCACAGGATGTGCTCAGACCAATTCACTGCTTTAAGGGGTTAAAGAGCAAACCGGCCAAATTGGCCTGGCTCCAATGGCAGATACCCCACTGCTGTTGCCCACGGACACCTGGCTCATAAATCATACACATCATTTTTTTAAAAAGGGCGACGGTCTCGAGATATCACCGTGAAGGTGACCGGCCCCAAGTAATTCAGGAATTCAGTTCATCTAGTTCGGTCTGGATACGAATTGTACTTCAACAGTTTATAGGTGTGCCACCTGAGCTAGGCCCGCTGGTTAAATCATACACATCTAGAACAAAAGGGATTGGCACTTCCTTGGTGCCCTCCCTGTAAAGAAGGCTTCCTCTCAGGGAAGGTAAATGAGACTATTGAACATATACTCCTCTAATGCCCATCGGCGGTGCTTACCTGGCAATGTTGGACTCAGATCTGGAATGAACTGGGAACGGACTGCAAATGGCCCTGAGAATGGAGGGCGATACTGTGTCGGAATGGTCAGCATGAACCTCGACCTTCACAGCTAACCTGTTCGCAGTAGGAAGGCGGTCCTTTGGGCCCTCCAGTGGCCCACTGCACTTTGGCAATAGGAGCACATGTGAGGAACGGGGACCTACAGACAATCAAAACATCATCAAGGTAGAAATCAGGGCTCTGTCCAGAAAACGAAACCTCTCTCCAAAAAATCAGACATTGCTTGTCATATCAACAAGTTCTTGATGGACTGGCTTGGGGAGGAACGGAGAGGAGAGATAGCCGGGGTCCAGTGGGAGGGCTGGCAGCTGGGAAGACCAGCAACGGCTGGACGCCTCTCAGAAGAACTACCGGCTATGGTTCAAGGATTGGACTGCAATTGGGAATGACATCCTGCTCCCCCTCCCCTCAGATTCCCCGGACTTATTCCCCCTCCCGAATCACAGCCTGGTGGAACTGGATTGGTTTGGCAGGGGGCCGGAAATGCCCAGCAGGGCCAGGGCGAGGCTGGATATTAGTGGATAAGGTAGGCAAATGGCGAAAACGAGAATAGGTACCAGCCTGCGGTCGCCGCCTGGCGCCTGGAGACCTGTACGTAGCTGCAATCCCCCGTCGCCACCTTGCCCAACCGCAGCTTGACTCAGTTGGCCAGTCTTGCTTCTCCATGTGAGCTGGGCATGAGCGTCAGAGTCCATCGGCAATGTCCCAATGAGCTTGCACAGGATAGACATGCTTAGGCTTCTGTTCTTTGTAGGCCATGATTCTGCATACTGTATCTTCTCTTCAGGGATGGACATGAGAGTCAGAGTTCCATCGGCAATTGCCCAATGGGCTAACACAGGGTAGACATGCTTATCCTGTATTCAATATCTTCTGTTAAGGGACGGTGGACCCGTTTTCCAGCAGGTGCAGCTTCCCACCAATAGACTGGAGCCATCCAAGGGGGGGTACCACAGGGAGCTGCTCTTACCAGCTCCTCTGACACCAGCCTGGGATGTTAAAAAAAGGGAGGAAAAAAATACCCTCTATCTAACGGCCAACCTCATCCAAGGTTAGGCATTGCATTAACCCTGATCAGCTTGATTGCGATATCTACCTGCCTCAGATAGTTGGGCTGTATAATAATGCCATACATTCAGCAACAGGCCGCTCACCCAACCAACTACAGTTAGGCTCGAAACCCGGGATCCCATTGGATTTCCTGTTCCCAGATCCTAAGTCACAATTCCAGTTCGTTACTTGTACTCGATGGGACACTGGATCCCATTTCCATCAGGTGAAGCTCCCCACCAATCGAACGGAGCAACCGGCAAGGTCTTAGTAGCAGGGGCTGCTCCTACCAGCCCTACTACTAAGTGAAGGCTGGCTTTTGCAACAACAACAAAAAAAGAAAAAACAACCGCAGTCATCCCCTGCAAGCATAGAATAAATTTTGCAGAAAACAATAGGACAACTACAGAAATTCCAGAGTGCTAGGATAGGATTAGAAACTCAGCATAGACAGTACCTTGATTTGACATGGGTTAAGTGACTTAAGTCCGATGAGTTTGCACCAGAAAAGGACGTATCACAAAAGAAGCTAATGCCTCAGTATTACAGACCGTGGACTGTCCTAAACATTGTAGAGATGATCCTGACGGTCCCACCTATGTGATGTTATCCCTCCTCAACTTTTTACTTACGCAATATTTCATGCATCCAGATGCTTGGCTTTTTTACCCAATATTTCATGCATCCAGATGATTGGCTTTTTTACCCAATATTCCATGCATCCAGATGCTTGGCTTTTTTTAAACGCGATCAGTTCTCGTTCTCGTCGTTTTACGCTGCCTCCAACAATGGGCGGTCACGTTCATGTTGACCGAATTGTCAAATCATGTTGATCCAAGTGAAGACCGGGTGGTTCATGACAGAATGATTGATTGAGTTTGTGCCCCAAGTGGTTTCAAGCTATGAGAGAACTCTAAAAGGGAGGCAACACCAAGCCTGTGTTCTCAGCGTACTTTCGAACCCGAGGGCGTGGAATGCGAGCCTCAGAGTGAGCCGTGACCCTAAGTGAAGGCTGCAGCCAAGCCTGAGGCAGGCGGTCCTAAGAGAAGGTCACCTAGGGCTAGCCAGGTCGTTGGCCTGGGAGCCCGCACTCGGGGTCCAGACCAAGCCCTACCTGACCTGGTAGGGACTGGGGCCATTAGGCATCCCCTACCAGAAAGCAGTTTGGACCCCGGCCAGAACAGACAAAAGGAAGGCATGGCAGGCAGAGGCAAACTCACAGAGTGTGCAGCGTGCAGATAGTGCCCGAGGAAGGAAAGAGATAGCAGCAAGGCGGAGAGATGCCTGGTGAGCGCTGCCATAGCTGGAGCAATGCAAGAGAAATGGTGGCGGGGGTATAGGAGTTGGAAGGGAGCAGGGGACAGCAGTGGATACTTACGTGATGTGGGCCGAGGAGCACCTCATGTGTTCAGGAGCATCTGACGAGAGGACAGTCAAAGAGAGAGTGAAAGGTAGTAGGCTAGAGTGTGTAGGCGAGTGGGAAAGTAGCACAGGAGTAGACACCACAGATAGGGCTACTACTCTGTTGTTGTATTGACTGTTGGAGGGCAAAGGGGACTTTCATTGTCAAGAGAGGTCAGTGTTCAGTGCATTCATGGATTGTTGTGCTCTCGGCTTTGCCATTCTGCTTTCAACTCGGGTTACTCATGTTTGGTCTTCAATGAGCTCTTGCATCTCCGAAATTTTCTGTTCGCATTGGCTGGTCCTTTGCAATTGATTCATTAATTCATCAGGCGATCACGTTTGTTGTTCAGTGATTTGTTCCCTGATTGGTCCATTCACTTGTTGACTCCTGCATTGGCCCATTGATTCATTTGACCTGTTTGCTTGCTTTCTTTGTTTGACACTGTCCCAGTCTGTTCATATGTCTGTCCATCTGGGGCAGCTGTTCATCCCTCCATTAATTCCTATCCATCTGATTCTCATGCATCCATCTATGCCCACCTACCAGGTGTTCATTCATCAACCCATGCATGTTTTCCCACCCATTGCTCACCCATTGCTGCTTTCGTCCCTCCTTCCCTCCCTCACTCTGTCCGTCCACCCACCCTCCAACCTGCTCGCACGCCTGCCGCCCGACGTGCTTGTCCAACCAGCCAGGTGTCTGTCACTCCAGCCGTCTGCGCCTCCACCCCTCCATTCCTCTGTCCCTCTCTTTCCCTTTGTTTCTCTGTCCATCCATCCATCTGTCCATCCGGCCTCTCCTCCGTCCTTCCATTCAACCATCCATGTCCATCTGTCCGTCCATCAATCCGTTCATCCATTCATCCACCCACCTCTTCATCTACCTACCCATCCATCCGCCCATGGACCGGCCCAGCTACTGACCCATCCACTGATCACTTCCCCAACCCATCCATCCATCCACCCACCACCCATCCATAGATCACTTCACCAACCCATCCATCCACCCACCCACCCACCCACCCACTCACCGATCCACCCACGCACCCATCTATCCATCTATCCATCCATCCTTCCATCCATCAATCAACACATACCTGGACTTGTGAAATAAAAATCTGCAGTCGGAGCTTTTGGTGAATATAAATCCTGGAAGACGAGAACTCTGAAGAATGGCAAATCTTTAGCAAACTTGTTATCTCCAGCTAACGGATTTGCTGAGTTATAGGCAGATACAATGTCAGAGTATGCGATGTAGCTAATCTCCGGACATTTGGGCTTTATGATATCCACAAATTTCTGGAATGTCTCCTGATCCAAACTCCACCTTGCACCTGCTCCCTCGCGGTCCTGTTTTCTCTCTTCATCTGATGCTCGCCGTTGGTACAGTTGAACAAAGGCCTGGATGAATTGCGCGTAGGGAGGAGCATCTGCAAGATTGCCACGAATATCCATCATTTTTGCGACGTTTGCACATGTCTGCAGCAGTCTTCTGCTCTTAACTTTGTTCTCCGCCATCAGCAAGAGTACAAATGTAAGAACTACAGCAAGTACCCCCAACAAAATCCCCAAAAATGTCAATCTACGCTTATCAAGGCAGCTTGTTCCTGCAAACTTCTGCGCCTGTCTCAGTTGCTCTGACAGCAATGAGGCTTCCACGCTTCCACTGTGACTTGAAGCACGTCCAGGTCCTGTGGAAGGCCCCATCAGAGGCCCCATCAGAATCCAAGTCCAGCTTTGCACCACTAAATCGCAGATCAATGTCAGCAGCTGAAGCTCTGGCAGTGTTGTTTGCGGCCTCCGAAGTTGTTATGCCGTTTCATGATCTGACAGCCAGCTTCCCCTCAATGTCTATTTGCTCTGCAGATACAAATATCAGAGACATTAGTAGTGCATATCCCTGCTAAGCACTGCTGAGAAGCAGGATTTAATGATGTGGAACGGTTGGTTTGTCTATCTTCCCGTGAGGCCACTGATTGCATAATCAAGCAAAAAGAAAAGAGAGCTTATGCTCTTGGAGTTCTCAAGGGTTCATTCAAAAAGCTAAAGGAACCAAATGGGATGTTAAGCCCCCTTTTTTTCCCCAGATAAAACAGGTCCTTATGTCCCTGGCTCCATATCCATCCTGGGGACCATCAGTCCAGTTCCTATTTCACTGGCAAGTCAGATATACAACTAGGACACCCTCACGCTTCCTTCTGTTTGGCCGAAGGACCCCTGAGCAGCATTGATTACTCCAGATGCCTGGAGGATTGACTGTCAGCTTGCCTTCCCTTTACTTTTCCTCTCAGGTTTGATTCCCCGGACCTGCCAAATCTAATTTGAAACCAAGAAAAGATGAAGGAATGCAGGTACCAACAGCCCCTGAATGGGTTGATCTTGGGATTCTTGTGTATTTGCAAGCGCGCAGAGCCTGTCAGACGCCCCTGCAGTGTCTTGGCTGATGTCTGACAGGTGGCCGAAAGGCCTGGGTTGAGTTGAGTCTGGGTACACCGGGTCATGGATGTACTTCTAGTATCACATTCCATGCTGGGGTGGGGTGAAATGTCCCTCAAGGGGCTTCACTTTCATCCCAGCTCACTTTTCCAATTGGTTAAGTGTTCTGCCTCCTTGGCGGAAGGTCTTAGGTCCGGTTCCTAGTGGGTTGATCTTGGGATTCTTGTGTTTTTGCAAGCTCGCAGACGCCCCTGCAGTGGCTTGGTTGAGGTCTGACAGGTGGCCGAAAGGCCTGGGTTGAGTTGAGTCTGGGTACAGCGGGTCATGGATGTACTTCTAGTATCACATTCCGTGCTGGGGTGGGGTGAAATGTCCCTCAAGGAGCTTCACTTTCATCCCAGCTGACTTTTCCGATTGGTTGAGTGTTCCGCCCCTTGGCTGAAGGTCTTAGGTTCGATTCCTAGTGGGTTGATCCTGGGATTCTTGTGTATTTGTCAAGCCCATGAAATTGTCTGAAGTTCTGAACTATAAAATTTGAAACTCTGGACTTGCGAGTTGTCGATCGCCTCCCTGCAGTTCTCCTCCTCTCCGACATGTGACCAGATTAGAATGGCCTGTCTTGGGTCCTGTAGGTCTGGTGATTGGGTCATCTGCCTTTTGAGCCCCATTTCTGAGTTGTGCCAGTCTTTCCACCTTATGCAGGGACCATTTATGACTGCTACCTTGCCTTCCACCAGCCACACCCTCGTAAGCTTAGCTAAGTTAGCTCTGATTTTTTTGCGGCAAGTCCAGATCTTCTGGCATGGAAAGCTTGATTTTCTGCCATTTGCGTAGAATCTCAGCCTGAGTCAAAAACCTGGTGGCCGCCTAGACGTTTTCTCGTGGATTGGAGAAGCCTTCCAGAGTTCTGCTGCACCTTTCCTTCCATCATACCTTATCAGGTCCTCTCTGTCTTCCGAAAGTGCGAAGGAATGTAAGTCCATAGGAGGAGTTGGATAGGGTGTTCGGGGAAGGGGGAAGGAAATAGGGATTCCCAGTGGTCGGATGCCGTAGCCCAGTATTCAGTCGCCTCTCTACATCTAATTAATTAGTGTATCATGTCTTCTGCTTCGTTGTCGGAACAGACTACACATAAGTCCAAGCTGCTGGGGTCGGTCCTCCTCCTGACATGCACCCATTGGTTGACTCAGAGTGCAACGTATGAGATGAGCCACTGGAGACTCCTAATTTTGACAGGATGAATTGTTTTGAAATTTTTCCACGGTATTTGGGATATCTGATTGGCATTCTGACCAATTAGCTTAGACCATGTATTCTAACTTCTAAGACTTAATTGTAGGATAGAGAATCATTAGAGATCTTTTGCTTTCAATAACATGTTAGATCCCAGTTTGATTGTGTACTTACTACTCAGCTATCTGGATTGGTGTTTTGATATTCTTGCATTTGTCTGGTGTCCATGCCCACACTGCTGGGTCAAATTCTAAACCTTGGACTGCTGTGTCCATCTGGAAGATTGTTTTTGGCCACACTCCAACACTCTTACTTTTCTGAGCACGAATGCCACGAACGGATTGAGGACTGATACCTCTGCATCTTTGTCGAGAATGGAGGGGAAGCCTTGAGTGTTTGAACCTAGGCTGTGCTGGCAACCGGGCGGTTGGACTGGGCTGGATCCAACCGTTCCAGTTGGACCCCCAGTGGTCCAACCGGATTCCGATTGGGCCCAAAAGTGAGTCAATTTTCTTCTTATTATTATTATTTTTTTTAACGTTGTTGGACTGCGCTCGCCAAGATCTCCCCGAATCCGCAAAGAAAACTTTGAACAGAGAAGTTTCGTTTGGGGGGTGGGGGGKGGGGGGKGGGGGGTATTTCAGGGGTTCGGGGTCGGGGGTTGGGGGGTGCATGGTGAGGGTGTTAGTGGTGGGGTTTCAGCAAGCACATGCTTCAGCGGACATTGACAACAGCGTACCTGGCTTTCTGCAAACGTTAACCTTCCGCCCAAAAACTTTGAAAAGGGGGGTGGGGGTGTTAGTGGCAGGGTAGGGATGGTACTTCCCACCCAAAAATTTTGAAAGGGCGGCCTATCTGGGCTGCAGCCCCTTGGTGCTTGTCACTGCTGTCTGGTCCAAGTTGCCCTCGATACTGGTACGGTGATGGTCCTGAGTGCTGGTCACACTGAGGCAGGATAGTAGGGATAGGGGGTGCGGTGGGAGTATTTAACGTGGGGAAGGGTAGGGAAGGTGGTCTATCCTGTCAGGACAACCACCAGCTGCCGCTGCCACCGATCACCGTGGGTCTAGTCCTTGGCCTCTACAACACCCTGGGCTTTCAAAAAAAAAAGAAAAAAAAAATGATGCACTACGGCCAACGGGGGGGGACCGGTCGGTAGGACCGGTCCGGTTCCGGTTGGGGGAGGGCCCCCCGGTCCTACCGGGTTTACAGCCTATTTTTTAACACAATTGGACAGGCGGTGAAAACAGCAAGGGTGTCTGATCCCTGTTTCTTGTGGGAGAATTGGAAGGCCCTTTTAGGTGCAGTTTCCTGAACCAAGCCTCCCCGCTCCCAACTCCCCTGATTTCCAGGTGAAAACGTTTTTCAACAAGTCTTTCTAGTCTTTCGGAATGCTTTTGATGATAATTTGTAAGTTCTCATCTCGGTGGTGGCATCCCGTGAGGCGGGTACCACGCTCATGTTTTGTCAGCCAGTCCTTTTCGGCATCCTGGATGTGCCTCACTCCCCAGACTTTGTGGTTAATCCAAGATTTCCATCTTCTTCCCCTTGGCTTCAGAGAGACTGGGTGATCACTTTCGTCTCTCACCCACGGGGTCCCATGGAGGTTATCTCAGGACGCCGTCCTTAGACCTAGGTCTATCAACTCTTTTTGGCATGATTTCCCACCATATTCGGAGCACCGCAGTCCAGTAAGGTGTAGGAGTCCTGACTTCATTTGAAGCACTCCCTCTTCGTTGGTTTCTGCGGCCTGTGTCTGGGGTCCATTCTTTGTTCATTACCCAAAATAGCTCGGACGTGTTTGCCGGCGTGGTTGTTGGGGTCAAGCACCTGATGCTGTTTAGCGCCATTTTTATTTTTAAATATAAACAAGTGGACCCCGCCACGGCTACGCCGTGGCACACAGCAACACTCGCTGATCTCTCTCTCTCTCTCTCTCTCTCTCTCTCTCTCTCTCTCTCTCTCTCTCTTTCTTTGTCTCTCTCTCTGTTCATTTGCACAGTCACATCCGACGCCGCTTTGCTCACCGTAGCGACGGGTCTATCGTTTGTGGATTGGTCATTCTCTCTCTGTCTTTCTCGTCTCTCTCTCTCTCTCTCTCTCTCTCTCTCTCTCTCTCTCTCTCTCTCTC